CGCAAATATCAACTCCAGTGTCCTGTTATTAAAAATAGTGGTGATATAATTACTCAACTAGCCCACAGAAATGTATCAATGTTGACATATAGTTAACCGTTCCCCCTTTAAAGACTTTAGCACAGCAAACTACCAGACATTCACTGATCATGACATCTCACATCTCTCGTTTTCAGCTGATGGCTATGTCACAATGTGAAAACTTTGGCCTTTATTAGGTTGTGACTGATACTGGCTTCACAACTGAGAGCATATTTATGTAAGAATCAATGATATTGAATGATTACTGACAGGCTTGTCAGCTGAAAACTGATTACAGAAATAGGTTAAAACTTTTGCAAGGTAACAGTGAAGTCACACTCCAATCAGCCTCCCTGACAGTGCCTGAAATACCTGGGTGATAAACACTGACTATTTTTTACTATTAGTAATGACACTGGAGGGGGTGTATTACGAAGCTTAACTCTTCAAGTCAAAGGTTTGTGTCATAAAAGTAGCTTCCTTTTTACCTGGCTAAATTACTGTGGTAAATCATGGTGAGAACAAAGTCTGCTTATGACCAGGATATCTTCTGAGTTTTGGTTTAAAGTCAAAGTGCCAGGGTTCCACTGATTGTTTCATTTACAGCATGTCTTAAGCACAATATAGATTATCTGCTAATAGGATTGTTATGCGCTGTTAAATTTCTGAATAAAGTGCAAACTGTGTGTCATATTGAAAATGTATAAATATTGTTTTACTTGATTCTGATCTGCTGCCAAGTCTGATGATGAAATAAATAACTTGAATTAAACTGTTTTCCTGTGCACTAAAAACCACCAAATTAACTGTTTTCTACGGTATTAATCTCTTGTTGCATTTTAGTATTATCTTTTTAATGTGCTGTTCTTTTTAGTTTTAATCACCCTTTTATCATCATCAAATGATAACATCTCTGACTGCAGTAAGTGTCACTCATAGGGGTCATTTTGTGTAGAAAAAGGGTCTAATGCCTCACGAATCACTGCTTTTCTGAGCACAGATCATGAAGCAAAAAGCTCTGCTTAAGAGAGAAAGTTGAGAACCACTGTTGTGATACCTGTTATCTCCAGCTGGGGTTTTAGGTTTTGTCCAGCCAGCTAATGCAAAGAAAGCCTGGTTGTGTTGAACTTCATTTGCAGTATACCCCTCAGTACCACTTCCCGAGAGGGCCTCAGGGGTGTGGGAAAATCGTGGAGATCAGCAGAACACTATGACAAAGAGTGAACTGCACACTAAACTGACCCACCGGCTGGCAGCCCAACCCCAATAGATACTGAATGCATCCTCCCACCAATGCCAACAGAGCAAAAAAACAAACTGCACAACACCACACATGACTGGAGCGAAGGCAAAAGCAGGGAAATACAGACACACATAAGGCAAGAGTGAGCAAGCAACAAACCAAAAACCTAATTGATCAGTGCAGTCACTACAAGCAACTGTTGTGGAAAACAATGTAAACAGACCATACATCCACAATAATTCCAAGTACAGGCCAGCAGTTGGTGCCAGCCACTGTTGGCATCAGTGCAGTGGGGGAGGGGGGTGTCATATTTATTAAAAAAAAAAAAAAAACTAGGGCTGGGCTTTCGCCTCCCTCTAGCTCTAGCCATGAGGGTATTTCATATCCCAACCTGGTGTAATAAGCTCCCCTTCTATTCTGACTCCTTCCTTCTCTCCTTGCAGGTATGTGAAATTCAGGTGGGAAGGTTTGATGCAATACAACAGCTCCACTTTTTGCTTTACTGCCAGAGAACATCATTTCAGAACAAAAACCTCTTTATTGTCCAGACAAGAAAATCACTGTCATGATGCAATGCAGAAATCAGTGATGGACACACGTGTCCATACATTGGGGTAGTTTTGGACACATCCATCGCTGCATTCTTGAAGGCTGTGACACAATGTTTAGTCAGCTGGTCCAACCTTTTAGTTTAAGGTGACAACTGCCTTAGATAAGATGATTCCTCTCCGAGCTAGGGTTTTGTCTAAATCCAGAGATTGTTTTAATAGGTGTAGGAGAGGTTTAGCTTTAAAGGCTTAGGGGTAATAGTGATGTTGAAAGGTGTACAGGGATCACTGGATGACTGTTCCCTAGCACACAAACAGTAGCAGTCCTTCTCATCCAGTCCATAAGTAGTATTTTACAGTCTACAGAGAACTCCATTATCCATGCTGAGATCAGCAGTTTCCATCAAGATATGATGTCCTTCATTAGTAACTAAATAACAGTTATTACCGAGCATCATCTACATAGGTCAGTGTTTTACCTGAACCGTGTAAAACACGTTTTCAGATCAACCGAATCAAGGGACTTTCACAAAAATGTTATGATTTTATTACTTTGAAAGTGAAAACAGTGCATTAACAGAATATAAAAGGTGGTTGTTTACTGTACCTGTCAGTGAAGCTGGGCTGTGTGTCACTCATTGGGCTTCCGGTTCTAGATTTGCAGCAAATTATATCCTATTAACATTTTCCAGAGTGTGATGAGGCGATTTCCTGGAGCGTCTTTCTCTGGCATTCGTCTGGAGTAGGCAGGGATTTTGAGAACGATGCTGGGAATCAGTTCACTGTGAGGTTGCTGCAAGGCACCTCCAAACACCAGATGAGCCTAAGCTACAACCAGGACTTCTTGTTAAAATTAAATGACAGCAAAAAATCTACAGTGCAGATCATAAAAATCAATCGGGGCCTTGGTCGAATTAGCAGTCCTACCCCGGTAATAAACAATATTTTGGCAACAATAATAAATATACTGGTGCAGCTGACACAAGTTGTCGTGTATGTACGAACTCCTCGTGTGCCTCCTTTGCATTCACATCCCAGTTTTCCGCCGATATGATGTATGTAAACAATCCGTATCCCAACGTTCCTGACACCTTGGCCCTGCGATGTAGTTCGTCTGCCAACACCCAGCTCGGCCGAATGGCCTCGGTGTCTAAATGATCGGTGAAGATGCTGGAAATTCCTCCAGTCCCATTAGGTATTCCCTGCTCCAATAAATGCCTGTCTGTGGCTGTGGGGACGACTCTCCCGTGACCAGGAGAATCGCTCAATGCCGAGTTTAAACGACCCGTGTTAGAAATTAGCAAAACAACTGCAGCTAACGTCAAACCGCTTTGATTAAAAAGAAACGAACTGAGTTAAATGGTCATTTAAAAAAGCACATAGGTTTCCCCTCCAAAAAAAATCCTTTCTCACTGCAAACTGGCAGTCGTTGAATCTCACCAGCTACCAGCTAACAAAACAGATGAGCTCTTTCAGCAAAAAACTTTGCTTCGTGGGCTCTTGTTTCGAGTGCAAACTAAGCAAACTCCCGTTCACAACAATGAGCCGGCCAACGAGCGAAACATACATACACAAAAACCTCGTGTATTTTCACTGGCTTGCGATACGTCTTCGCGTTATGTCCTTCAAAAAGACTCCTTGAGGAAACAAAATGCAGCGGAGCCCGTTAGCACAGCACAGCGTCTCTTGACTCCATGTTCCAAAAGAAATCGTCAATTCTCGACAGAATTCCCGTGGATGGAAAGCAGGCTAGCTATGTGGCCGCCAGCTAACGGGAAAGAAAGTAACCACCGCTCCCGTGTAAACAACGACAAAAAAGCGGCGAGAGGCTTGAAACTTGTAGCGAACATTAAACGTTATTTTTTCCCAACGTACAACGCTGTTTGTTCGAGAGAATAACTTGAGGAAAGGTACCAAAAAAAATCCCACTTTCTGCCGCTAGCAACGCCCTAGCTAGCAGTTGGGAGAGACTAACCACTTCCTGCCGCCGGGGAGAATTTATTTCAGCATAATATCAGGGACCACTACTGAAAAACGAGTAACAACAACAGCAAGCACTACTACTACTGGTAACAGTAATACTAAACATGTATAATTTATTCGTGTATGATGCAACTATAGTAGGCTGTGAATATAACAAGCAGCGCCTCAATGGCGTGTGCAGCTGGCAGGGATATTAAATAATGACCACTGGGCCAAAAAAAAAAAATTGTTATAATTTGATCATTTTAAAATGTATAGACACGAATATCTTCATGTTAGTCAGTCTCCTTCTGAATAGTGCTTCAAGTAACTGTGTGTGCCGTAACAGTCAAATATGGATGCAAAAGGCACTCATGAAACTGACACAATAAATTATTCATGCATTTATATTTATCCGTTAAGAAAAAAAAAACATACAAACTACTAAAGTGTTGAACCTTCCAGTCCAAGAGTCATTTATACGACTCCAGTTTTTGTGCATGTGATATTACTGGAAGCAAAACCAACCATCAAATGAAAATGATAAAAAAAAAAACCAACTTCATCTGTCCCATTAAGGTTGTGGACAGTCACATTTATCAATGCAAAGTACATAATTTTATCTTTCTTAATAAACAAATTCCCGTCTGGCTTGTACTCTACCCTTTTTCTCACACAACTACCTTGCTTAAATACACAACTACTGCACTACTGTGTGATTGCTGTGCTGAGCATTGCAGTCACACATCACTGCATTTCTGGCACCCTACATTATACTGTAAATAAGACAATAAATAAGGCACATTGTATATTACACACAGCATAACACACACCTATCTCCACTTTGCATTGGTAAAGACTGAAAACTGGTCCAAAACGACTGAATTTATGCTAAAATGAGAAAAAAACAAAAAGTTACACATGAACTTAATGTAAGTTGCTGATGCTTTGTGTTTAAAATAAAAAGTGCTTTTCTTCCCTTTTCATTGCTCCTATTTTAGAATTGCAGAAAGACCACATCTTTCCTCTCTCATCATTCATAAATAATTGATATGACACCATCATGTGGACAGCTTAGGTAACTTCACTCTCAGTCGACTAATTCATCTCGAGTTTCGCTAGGCTTCACTAGAACACAGTTGATGTTTCAGTTTAGTTGTAAATTTGCTTTTTAGTGAATGCAAACAACATGTCAAGTTTATTTTATTTCACTTTACACAGGGATTACAAAGGTGAACGATGAAACCCCGACCCGAAATGGCTCTTGTGACGCCGCCTCGTGTGTTGAGTGAGATTACAGTACACGAGAAAGGATAAAAACACATTAGGAAGGTACATTCAGATAACTAAGGCACACACTAGTTAGGTTTGTACTTTCTTGTATGTATTGGTGATGCACACAGAGACGTCTCTCAGTGCCAGTCAAGTGAACAGTCATAGGAAACAAACAGATGGCATGTTTTTAACCTATTGCGACAAAAACATATTCTCAAAATTAAGACAAGAATGCACATAAAAATCTGGACTCAGTCATTAAAGTCCCTTAATATAAAAACTTCCTGTCTTCATCCCAGTAGCACATTTTTTATTAAGGCAAACATTGTATAACATGTTTATTTCAAAATGGTTTATTTAAAAAAAGACCTTTTGAAAGACTTGCACAATGTACAGATAGCTCAGAATGAATTTAATCAAAGCTTGGACAATTTCTGACAAGATCTCTGTGAGACTGAAACATTCAACAAACAGCTTATTAAATTAAATTAGCTGGGAGCTATCAGTGCAGAGCACAGATCTTGTCTAAACGATTACTCACGCGCGACCACCCTCACACATCTGGTACAATAAAGTTGACACTGGTTACCATTTCAGAAAACATGAGAAGGTTTACAATTTACACTAAAAAGAAAGCATTTAGAATTTAATAGACTCAATAAAACTGTAACATAGAGCTTTAAAGGAGGGATGCAAAATAAATAGAAATTTGATTAAACACATCAAACACACTTCAATCTTTCTGATATTACTTAATTTCCCTGAGTACCAATTCTAGTCTGTTGACATCACTAAAAGTGTTTCACAAGGACTACAACATTACATGTAAACGTTTTCTTTTCTAGTAGGGAACTTCCTTTTGGAGCCACACTGCCACACATGACTAGGTCACAGTTAACGGCAACTTTTCTTCCCACAGGTTTTCTTTATGTGTTTATACAACAAGCTTTGGTTTTCAGTGATATAAACTGCGTCAGTGCTGTTTGCACCTTTTATGCATGTTCAGCTCCAAAATCTACAAACCTTACAAAAAGAAGCCTTAGCATTTTTTTAATTTAAAAATCCCTTTTTCTAAAATCACACTTCAACATGGAGAAAGTTGCTTTCCATGTACTTTCCATCAAGTGTCCAAAGTGAAGAGCAGAGAAATGACATAAATGGATTCCCTTCTAATGCCGATCACTCCATCTTCACTTCATGACCATTAGCTGCTAAAAGCTCTTGGTGGTCTCTCTGGTGTTTGTGCCAGCTTTTGCTCTTCCGGATGGCAAATCGAACAATGTCTACCATAAAGACCCAGGAAAGGGCGTACATGGCCACTCCGCCACACTTGATAAAGAATCTCGGCCTGGGGGAGATCAGCTCACAGTACAGCATTGTGCCTCCCACGAAGATTCGCATCACCACAAACAGCAGCACAAACAGGACGTCCACAACGTCCCCCAGCAGAGTCCCGTAACGTCCAGTCTGCTTGAGGAACCAGCGCGCCTGCAAGAGAGGGTTTGTGATTTCACTGCCAAAGAGCACCGCACACGACTCGATGCCAGACTCCCCCAACCAAAGGGTCAACAGGATTCCCAGGATGCTCATGGTGTGGTGGGCCAGCATGACTGGTCCCTCTGTACGGAAGTACACACACCAGGCCATGTCAAAAATAAAATAGCCCAGACTCAGGACCATGGCACTTATCTGCAGAGGGGTGTTCTTTGTACCTGGCGTCCACAGACAAAAAAAGACCGGCTTTAGTTAGCTTCTTATCGAAACAGATAAAACAAGTTATTACTGTGAAATGAGCACATAGTTGTTTATATTGGCGTGTAACAAAAACAGCTCTTGAGAACTTTTTGTCTTTGTGTCTAAAGATTTTTCAGCACCTTACAAAAAGTTTCCACTTGGTAGTTAGAGCTCAACTGTGCTAACTAGTTTAGATGCCTCATGTCTGCATCAATTTTCAAAGAAAAAGCAGCAGATGTTACAGTGAAAACTAATAGATGAATCTAAACAGTAATGTCACATTAATGCATAAAAGAATATAATATTAAGTCAGTGAGCTGCTTAAAATCTATGCTGTGTCACTGCATCCTTGCATCCTTTTAGGTTTTTAATGTGCACACAAAATCTTGACAAACTGCATCCCCTACCTGGATAAGTAAAAGGCCAAGGTCCATCTACATAGCCTATGTACGCTGTGATGCAGACTGCCAGGATCCCGTGTACCAGCGTGACGAGTCGACAGTTCCATTCGTAGCTCCTGGATCCGTTAACGTTACACAGGACAAAGTAGAAAGACACCCAGCAGGATAGGCACAGGAGAGCACAAACGACAAGCACAGCCATCTTCCCCTCTGAAGGTAAGTCAAACAAAGAAAAGCAGCAAATTACAGCTAAACAAACTTCTCAGCAGTCATCAAGCCAACTCTGACTCACATTACATGGCGAGAGAAAAATGCAAGGAGGAACTTCTTGCTCTGTAATATCACTTACAGTAGAAAAAGACAGAATCACCGTCCAGAGATTTGAACTGTGCACTCTTTGTGAGGGAGCAACAATTAGCCTTTGCTTGAACTATAATAGTACTATAGTAGGCCGGCTGAGGGTCTGGTGGGGTGAGGGGGACGTCTCTTCTTCTGCTGTGACGTTTGTACTAGGAGGTGAGACCATGCAGACAGATGAGCCCACCCTCAGTGAACTGGAACAAGATGTACACTTGATTCTTAAAGATTCAAGCTAGTTTCAAAACTGGCAGAGAGGTTACTGGGTGCTGGGTCTCAGACAGTTCCCGAGAGGGACAAAGGCTCTTTCTCCCTTATTATTTGACATCTGCACTAATAAGCAAACAAAAAATGTCCCGTTGCTATCTTCGTTGTTATGCTTGTGATGTCCACATGCCAGCCAAATAAACTAAAAGATATTCAGTTACTACAACACACATATAAGAGCAATAAATTATTATATTTAAGAGGCGGGACACTGAACTGTTTCAGATTTTCTGCTTGGAAATGAATATGTTAATAAATTAATTCATCTGTTTAGTGACTCTGCTGCAAATTATTTTACAGATTCACTTGTACTATGGATAAAAAGGATGCACCTAAGGATGATATGAAGACTAGGCTTGAATTTATAGTCTTAGAAAACCTGCATGTTCATCTGAAAACGCACAATAAAGTAGGGAGAAAAAATCACGAGCAAACAAAGGAAACATCTGAGATCTGAATATGCAATGACAAAATTATGTAATGACATAAAATAAAACTAGTAAGTCTTGAACGATTCCACATTTCTCTATATTTATCTTCCAAGAAGCCAGACTTTCTGGTTTTGAGTGATCGTTCTCCATGCTTTATGAAGGGTTTTGAAAGTTTTTCAGTCCAGTCCTTTGACCTGACCATTTTCTTGGGAATGTTTTTTTTTTAATTCAAGGATAAAAAGGGACCTAACTCCAGGAATAAACCAGTATTATGCCTACATAATAGAAAATCCCTTTTAAATTGTGCCGTGTGCACTCTGTTAGTAGCAGACAGTCACAAAACTGTTCTCTTTTTTGAATCTATAAAAAAAATATGCCACAGATACTACACTTTAACATGCATAAAATAGTATTTTTGCACCAATACAGTTATTCCAAAAACAACTAGAAGATGGAAACATGGCATATCTTAGTACAGCGTGCAGGGTGTCATTAAAAGATCTGAGGAACCTGGACAAGAGGAGAACAAAAGGAGAAGTGGCAGGCTGAAAAAAAACTATCTGTAATACATGAACAATATTTGAAAGTCGTGTCCTTTAGAAATAAGAAAAAATCCAGCAAGGATGTGACACAAGTCCTAAGAGATGCGTCTGGCCCAGACAATTCATCAGTTGATCCGTCTACTTTTCACTGGAGACTCATCAGAAATGGTCTCAGTGGAAGGGTGGCTGTCAAGAAGCCATGCTTAATCAACAGATAACAGGGAGAAAAGACTGAGATATGCCAAATTGCACAGGATCTTGTTAAAATTGATGGAATCATAAACACAGAGAAGAACACTCAGATTTTAATCCTCCATGCAGCCCAATGTGGAAAGCGTCTGATTTGCAGCTGATTTGTTTTTCAGCATGACAATGATCCCAAACACTGCCAATGCAGTAAAGGCATACCTGGATAGAAAAAACACATAAAGGAACACTATCATTCATGGATTGGCCTCCCCAGAGCCCAGACCTCAACATTACTGAAGCAGTGTGAGATCATCTTAACAGAGAACAGAACAAAAGTCATCCAACATCCAAAAAAGACTACTTGAACTTTAAAAAAAATGAAAAGAAAGCTTACCTAAGAGAGTTCAGGCAAAGCTAAGGAATAACGATTGTTGCCAAATATTGACTTTCAGGCACTTTAGAATTGTACAAACTCTGTTTTTGCCTTATTACACTGCATTCCCATGTATGTTTGCACATGTTTCAATATATGCTCATTTTACTAGCAAAATATAAAGAAATGAGTGGTGACTCAAGACTTTTGTAGAGTACACACAAGAAAACACCAGGTAACTGAACAACTACCTTTATGTTTATTATTTGTTTTTCTTCATTACAGCATGCCCTGTGTATGATGCTGGAGGCTTTCTTGGGATAAGCGTGAGACACCTGAGCTATGTTTACTCTTATAATGGATGCAGATTTGAGCCGTTTTAAGGTAAAAACTATTAGCGTAATAATTGTGTTCCCACGCAAACCTATGAAAGGACGGGAACTGGCAACCAGAGCCCACGAACAAATGAAGAAATTTCTTCATTTGTTCGTGGGCCAGTTTATTGACGGTGACAGCAAAAGCAGCTGTTGCTAACAATGTGAAAGGGCAGCAGCAGAGCAGGGCCATAGCTCATCCCTTAGCCGAGGGGATGCTATCATAACAGGCTAACTCTGCACTGGCACTATTAGATGGATCAGTGAGCAAGCTAACCGTTAGCAAGCTAACAAAGCCTTGTTTTATGGGGTTACAACACGTTTATAAATGCGGTGAAATATAATTACCTTGTGGCTGTGTCTCTGTTTACATTCTGGCTGTTTTGCGTCCTCTGAAGCAAATATATGCTCGTAGAAAACCGAGGCAGGTTTGTTTGGATACACACTTTGCTGTCCTTTAACTGAACGGCACCGGGTAGCAGCAACAGCAGCCTCCTTCAGCATCCTTTGTGTCCCATTACAAGTGGCTGCATTTGCATGCTCTGCTACTATTAACTTGCTAGCACTACAAAGTGTATTGCATCCTGCTTATATTATCCCGTGCAATACCATAATTAGAGATTAAAGTAGATTTATGCAATATTTTGTAGGAGAAGCATGCTTTCATCCTTGATGTAGCGACGGCAGGCTTTTTCTTTCGGAGCAGGGGCGACACCGTGTGGGAAATAGT